TTATTCTAATTACTTTTTTCTACGATTGTCATCTACGAAAATATATATATAAAATCCAAATGAAAGCATCAGTATTTTTTTCCCCATAACCACGCCTAAATATCCAATACAAAGATATGGTTAACTAAAATGTCGTTCATATGTATTCGAAAACATCACTGTACTGTTTTAACGATGTCAGTTAAACATTACAGTTAAGTCAGTCAAAACTGCATTTGCAACTTGTGTCATTTAAATATTATGTAACATGAAACTTATTTGCAACACCTATTGCAACAAACATAAGTTGCAAAGAGACTCCACCTTCTGCGCTTTTTAAGGTACTATGAAGTTTTATATGCGATGCGTTGTCCATAATTTAGACCTTCATTTAGTCACACTAAGGTTGTTGTTACTCACTGAGAAACAAATGGTGTTGCTTGGGTATGAACGGAGTTCCTATTTCCTGGTCAAACCAAGTGAAATATCTTGGATTAATACTTGACCAAAAACCGAGAAACGTTAAATCTAGCGATTTATTAACAAAAGAGAAAATCGACGAAGAAAATCGATCATCGCGTATACGCCCTTAAGCATGCTCACTGTCGAATTGCTGCTGAGATGACACTGCACGACTGATTGAGTGGAGCGGTGAGTGACCAACTTTCATTGTCAACTGTCAAAAGCAACTGGTACGTTGCTTGAGTGAGCGTCCGATTTGAGAGTGCAAAATAAAAAGGATGACTATGATCAGCCATTTTGAGACTTCTACAGTGACAGTTTTCAAGACTGTGTAAGGAAAAATGAAATGAACTATACTACTATAATTAATTGTGCGTCTCTAGTAATCATCACTGGTGTAAGTGTGTTAGAGAGTGTCGCAGTATGTTATTGCTGTTCAAAAGAGGGTGCTTCTCCGGTAGGTTCTGAAGGACAGAGTGATTGCCCAAGTAACCAAAAGTTCTGATAAAAGGCTATTTGTGGCTTAAGCAGCTTGGTTGAAGGTGGTTCCTCTGCCAAATCGAAGCCGTGGTGAATTCAAGGCCACTTCTGCCGATGTCGGATGATCCCAATGATTTGGCCAGACTTGGAAAAACACCCACCGGCACTGCGAGCCGTGCAATAATATTGCTCCCCGTTCAAAGCTAACACGCACTCGGTTTCGGTACCTCTTGTCGGCTCGCCACCGATACGAACAAGAAACCTGAACGCGGAGCCGTTTTATTCGGCTTGGTGCCGTGCTATGGTTATTCGGTGCGCTCCGTGCGGCTCCGTGCCAGGGTCCGGTGCCAGACAGAATACCGTGCTTCTTCTTCTTTGTTTCCATTATCGCAGTCTACCTGTAGCTAATTTTTTTTTTCGTTCCTTTTCTGATTGACCTTTCCGGCGATACTGTACCTCTTTACTCCTATGAGAAAACCCCACAAACAACTGTCATTCTGTGCGTGAAGCATGGCGGGCTGTTCCGTACTATGTCGCTCAAATGAAAAATCTTAAAGGGGCTGTTCATTAACTACGTATACAGTTTTTTGGGATTCTTGACCCCCACTGAAATTTTAAAATTTGTATGGACCGTGGACAATTGCCAACCCCAACCCCCCTCCAACCTGTCTACGTAGTTTATGAACAGCACCTAAGGAACTATCACACTGTGTAGAGCCAATGCCGTCAATGCGAATTAATGCAACAGCGATTTTCACCATGTAGCATTAATGCGGCAAATATAATTGCCTAAAAACCATAGTTTTTTTTCGGCAAAGGTCAATTACAAGTTAATTGTTTCGTTCTTATTTTCACTGGCGAATACAATTTACTTCACTATAACGTTAGGGGCTGTTCATTAACTACGTAGACAGTTTTTTGGGATTCTTGACCCCCTCCCCCTGCGTAAACAATTTTCCATACAAAAATTTTAAAATCTGTATGGGCCGTGGATAATTACCAAACCCCCCCCCCCTCTAAACTGTCTACGTAGTTTATGAACAGCCTCTTATTTAGAAAACTTTCTTTAGTTTACGCAGCGCGGCACAACATGTACCAAACATAATCGTAGACGAGAATGATGAGTGGTAAAATTAGCACCAGAGCACCAAAGAAGTTCTGTATTAACAATAGAAAAGGGCCATTCAGCATTTGTAAACAACCCGTTCCTTACTAAGCGAAGGCCACCCACGCAAACCAACGCCATATCATGTAGGGGAAACTTTCCCTTATCCGATGATGGTGTTGGTTTGCGTAAGCGGCCATTGCTGTGTTAGGAAAGGGCTTTAGAACGATTTGTTTACAAATGCTGATGGGCCCTTTTCTATGGTTGATCTAGACATTTAGCTTCACCCGGTTATTCATAATTTTCAACATTTCGAAAATGGCCAACACATCCGTATCCGAACGGACCCTGTTCCTGTCGAGAGAAATGACGGACGCAATTAACAACGCGTTTTAAGTTTGCTTCGCACCATGGATTCTTATGTAAATGGAAAAGCTACTTGTCCATTTTTCTAAACTATTTCAGAACAAATTTCTTGAGTTCATCGAGTATAATTAAACTATGAGCTACTTGCAACCACTTCCATTGAAAAACTCAGTTTTGACAAAAACGCAAATGAGACCGAGTATAGCGCATCACCAACAACGAACGATACGAAATCATGAGTTCCGTTGGCTCCGTGCCGCACGGTGGCGAGCCGAAGCCCGTAGCACCGCGTTTGGGTTTCTCTTTTGGTTCGGTGGCGTGCCAACATGTTGCACCGACACCGGGTGCTTTATCGAAGAAACCCAGTGCTGTGCATACATGAGTAGGTTGCCACCGAGCCGCACCGAGCGGTGTTTTTACCAAGTCTGGATTTGGCTGCACTCACTCCGGCCCATTTCCTAATCGGCACCTCCATGCACGCCTTGCCCGACCCAGACCTGCTGCACATCACGGAGAGTCGACTGGAGCACTACCACAAGCTGCAACTGCACGTACAGCAATTCTGGATCCACTGGCGTAAGGAATACCTGCAGGAACTCCAAAAGGACACGAAATCGGCGGAACGCAACAACTCCATCCAACCGGGACGAATGGTCGTCATCGTCAATGAGCAGCAAGCACCAATTCGCTGGCCGCTAGCCAGAATAGTCGATCTGCGCCCTGGAACGCATCAAATAACTCGTGTGGTCACGCTTCGCACTGCAAGAGGAATAATTACCCGTCCAATAACGAAAATCTGCTTGCTTCCTGACGTTTCCGCGGAATCCGGTGATGGACATCGGCTTCCCAAGGAGTTTAACCCGTGAATCATCTGCTGAAAATAGATTAAGAAGATTAAATTAGATTAATTATGCTAGAATTTCTCTTGAATTGAATTTACATACCTGTTAGTTGTCATCTCTAAGATTGTTTGTAAAATATTGAACTGCTTCAAGGCGGCGGGTATGATGAAACATAATGTGAAGTTTTTGGTAGCGAGCCCATACAGCACCGCATTTTCGCCCGTTCAGGCGAAATTATATATTTATACTGGCAACCTTATGTCTTCGGTTACTTGTGTTCGGGTTTTTTTCGTCATCATCATTTTTTCCTCCCATCATCATTTATTCAGATCAGTCAGTCATCAGTAGTAGCTCGAAGTGAATAAACCAAAAATTTAAACTAAATATTTCTGTAGTTAAATAAAAGATTTTTCTGGAGAAGTAAAACGTGTGGAAGAGCTCTTGTTTGATCAATTTTGTGCAATCCAAAAATTGCAAGTGTGTGTATCGCTCTGGTCGTCTTGACAGTGACATTCGGAGTACTGGCATCTCTGATATTCTGAAGTGCATCGTATGCACTTTCTTCTCTGTGCGCACACTGGGCCGTGCTGTGGCCACAATTAGAAAAGTGAGACACAACGTAGGAGTAAGTTTGAACATTTTTTGGTTATAAGAATCTGAAAGTTTCGGTACCATAATTGAAGAGCATTCTAAGCAGCTTCTGGCGGAACTTGTAGAAAATAAATAAAAAAAAGGTTTTTGTCCTCTAAACCAATTCTATATTTAGTTCGCACACTTATGAAAGTTATTTCTAAAGGCAGGTATTAATGTGTATTGATTTATCAGCATTAGTAGTAGAATTGGAGCTGTTTACAGAATTAAACCCAGTCCTTCTGCGTGAGAGTCCCAGCACGAACCGCTACGTCATCTGAGATCTGATCATTTCATATTTACGTACATTAAATTGTGTTATTAATAAAGACTTGGGCGGATTGCTTCATGTGGCTTGAAAGTTCTGTCGGAACTTTATTTGAACTTTATGGAACTTGAAAGTTCTGTCGGAACTTTATTTGAACTTTATGGAACTTCAAGGTTCGGTCGGAACTATATTTGAACTTTATGGATCTTGAAAGTGATTAAAATCACTTCCAAGATCCATGGTCCATGATTTTGGGTTTGTTGGGTGAGAAATATCGTTTGCAGCTCAATTATTAAATAAGATATATGAGATAAAATATAATTGAAGGCTACATATTAGACCGATGTTGGGACATGTACCCTATTTAAAATTTAATCATAAAATTTGGCTATTTGTATTCCTTTGCACTAAGGCCTTATGGTCCTGACCATATCAAGGGATTATGACTACGACAAAAGGGCAGTCACTATGTTTCGGCCTTATGTGGTTTCTCGTATGAACGGTTCAAATAATAATCATTATGAATCACGTGTTCCACTGAAATGCGCGCCAACGGTTCCGAACGCAGCCATCTCCAAGCAAACTTTTCTCCGAGAGTAGCTTGAACCATGCTCTCGCAGCTTTTCTTCGACATTCATTCCCTCTTTCAGTTTTCAGAGCGTTCAATTCATTCAACCACCTTGCTATGCTCAATGAAGTTAAGGGGTATAAGCCTTTACCTTTGAGTGAGGCGTCGTCGGCCGTCGTCTCTCCGTGGTCCGAAGCGTATGGCGTAAATAAGCTTTCGACACAACGGCAACCGAATTGTTCACTCTCTCCGACGAACATGACCGACTCAGTGCATGTCGAGATCCCGTACAACGTTGACGTAGTTTTTCCACAGCGAAACCAGCGCCGCGCGTGACAACCATCAAGAATCAATCAACACTTCCAGTGGCAGTCAGTTCAATTTCAGCGTCGTCCACGCGTATTAAGGAGCACATCCCTCGGAGTTGGTGCGCGTGTGAGAAAGAGAGACCAAGTGAAACAGAGAGAGGCAAATAGGTTGTGAGAAAACCTACATAAGAAGGCTCTGCACGGACACGGCAGGGAGCGAATAAGAGAGCGAGAGCGAGAGGTGAAATATATTAATTTTGAAATAAATTATAAAAGCGATCAGCGGAGGACGGACCGCTTCCAGACTGAGAGTGAGTGCAGTGCAAGGCCCAACATCCTCCCGAATCATCATCGACCCGTAGGATTCCGGTGCGCATCCAGGAACCGTCACTTGATAACACCCAGGAGATCATCTCCTTCGCATCCAAAATAGTAAAGTAGTTGGCCAGTGTTGGAAAATAGCAATCAGATCAGTTCGAGTCAGAAGAGTATCCGCATCCGTGTCAAGTGAAATTAGTGAAGTGAAATTGTCGTGTGATTGACAACTGTCATTCGGAGTATTTCGGTGTGCCAGTAGTGTCGTCGTTCAATTCACAAATTGCAGTAGCAGTAAAACGCGGTGGCAGAAAATGGTTCAAAGCGCGTTTGGCCAAGTAATCGTGGCACCGAGTCGCTAGTAACTAGCCGTCGTTGAAAGTGCGGCGTGCCTCTCCGAATAAGCGAAAACCGCGAAACACCATCCAACACGCGCGGCTGAAACGAAATATATAAAAACCGTTCAAGTTGATGCATAATTTTAAAACCGAGCTTTTGCGCGGGGCAATAAAAGAGAAATAGTTGGATAAGTGAGTGATTTTGCTATATTTTCTTTGGCACATTGCGATTTCTGTTTCGCTTCTTTTTTTTCCCCGCTCTCTTTCAAACCCACTTGACGAATTTCATGAACGCCCACCCCCCGTGGTTTGCGAGACCTCCATTTACTACTGCCGCTTCTGCCCTACGGGTGTCGTCTTTATTTTTTCGTCGCTCGCTGCTTCTTCTGCAGTTTCGACAAATGTAATAATCTTATTTTTTTGCCGAAGAGAGCTTACGAAAATTGAATTTATTAAACAACATTACATCAAAGTTCGAAAACAGCGAGAGAAAATTAGCAAAAAATAAAACCGAAGAATTTCGAAAGGAAGAAGAATATAACAAAGTCGTGATTCGAAATTGCAACGAAAAACAACAACACAAAAGAAGCGAAGAAAACGAGAAAAAAATAATTCAAGCCCCAAAGAGAGTGGTGTGTTTGTGGTGCGCTTGAATCGAATTGGTGCATTTGAAAAATTGCAGTTTTTTGCATCAAGGATCTACGTAAAGAAAAGGTAAGCCAAAGAAAAATGCAACATTCCGATCGAGAGACAGGGAAACCTAACTATGCTGACACTACTAGGACTAGAAATAACAAAAAAATAAAAACGATAAGCCATAACTGTGTGCTCCGGTGCTCTGCTTTTGCTTTCCATTCGGAGTTTTAGCTTTTTTCGTTTTAATTAAATATTTATCGATAAAACAACTGTTTCTCAGGCGAACCGTGAAAACACATTTGCTGCGCGCACACGGGAAGGAGCGTGGTGGTTTTTGTTGTTGTTGTACTAATGCCTGCCCGTTGTTGGTTGGGTTCGTGGGCTGCAGGCACTCCGTGAGAGGGTGCTGCTGGTAGCCAGTTTTTGACAGCAGGAGAGAAAATATGTAGAGCAAAGAGTGTTGCTTTTTGGTACGATTACTTGATACTGCGGAAGTTGTACAGAGTCAATAAATTGCATCCAATTTTCCATAACATGTGGTATATCGCACCAGTAAACTGAAAGATGATCAAACCTCATTGAAATGTTAAGGAATGTTTGAACTCAGACCGCTGAATGGGTAATTTGGCAAGTGAACTTCCAAAATGTCATCACTTAGTTGTCTCTGCGTAGCTGGATACTGCAAGGACAATCGAAGTAGCCTGGTTTTCCTTCGAGTTAGAGTGAATATCGGGCTACGGAAAGTTGACTGAGATTTCTAAAAATGTGTACTGTGCAGACCGAACACGATTTCTAAAAATGGGTACTGTGCAGACCGAACTGCCCATAAAAGCACAACAGTTCCATATGGTTTTTAAAAAGAAATGAGTTATTCATTAGAATCGATTGTAAACTATCTGTATTTTAAACTGAGCACTAACAGTCACATGTTTTGTTCAGAAAATTTGTTGAAAAATACCAAAACTTGGTTATCCCATCAGCCTACGGATAAATAAATTACGCCGGTTTTCTCGGCTTGCTGTTTATCCACATGGGACTGATATGCTTTTATGGGCAGTATTTTAACAAAATGTATTTTCCACAAAATCCTGCTTTAGAATTGAAAACACTACACACTAATTCTGCTTTTAGTTACCCAGTTATGTTTGAATTGCGGAACCAAGCGGTAAAATTTTTAAGATCTGCAAATAAAATCCATTATCTTTGTTCAGGCTGGGTACTGCTCATATTATGATCAACACTCTTGAAATTTTGAAGAGTCTATTGTGAATATTTCTGAAAGTTAGCATTGTTGATAAGATTTCAAAATCATAAGTTTAAAATCTACAAAATGTACTTTTTATGTTATTGATGTTTTTAACAGCTTTTTTTCCATTGTTGACAGAAATTTGTGGTTTTTTTTATCATTGTGTTTTTTTTTTCTGAAAAGGCAGTCCAATTTCCTACAACTTTCTCAGTCATTTCGATAAGATGAGCCGTTTTCATACTACGATTTAATAACACTCCAAAAACGATGCCTCCGGTGAAATGTGTAATGGAAAAATATCAATGTTTGTCATTTATTGACAAATTTCAAATCTATTGAAATCATTTGAAACTCCATAGTTTAACGATTTATTCGATATAATTAGATTTGAAATATGTTTATAAATTTAAGAGCAATGGTTTTTCAAACATTGCCAATTTTCCGTTACACATTTTATCAGAGGCATTGTATTCGGAGTGTTAAAAAATTTCGAATATAACATGTTAAAAAATTACAAACTTGATTCTTTGCTCCAAGGAATTTGAGAGATAAAATTGAAAATTAGTTTATATTTTCGCTATTTGACCTGGAACTGCTCAGGATTGTAATTAGGAACACAAAACTGAATTCCGCCACCCATGAAAAAAATTCTGACTCAACATATCCTCGCTTGAATTAAACCAAAAGAAACATATTTACATCATCATAAACACTATAACGCTAGCAGGATGCATCCTGACATACACGTTCTTGTGCTCGTCGGCCACGTCTTTTACCGGAAGAGAACTAATGTACCGGTCGGTTCTGGAATTTAATACGGGATCGACGGTAAACAGGCTCTCGTCGGTGAACAGGATTACCGGATTTTTCCGCTTAAGGAAGTTCAAGATTTTCTTGCATCGTTCGACTCGTAGCTCCCGGATGCGGTTGGTGATGATGTGAGTTTTTTTCCGTGCCCTCAACTTCGCCCCGCAATCTTCCTTTACGATCTTCCGTGCCGTAAAGTCACTGATCCCGTGTTCCTTTGCCATTTTCCTTATTGAACGCACTGGATGCACCCGAAGCTTCCATTTGATAGCAGCGATATCCCTCGGGACCCGAACGTCCTGTGGCCACCTTCGCGGATAGTTGTCCTTTCTTTTCTCGGTTTGAAACCCTTTTAAAGGTCCACCGGGACCTTCCCACGGCGATTGAAATGTCTTTTTGCGACATTTGCGCGTGGACAAATCACGAATACGCTGCCACTTCGTCATGGTGCAACTGTCAAACTAAGTAAATCATTTTCTTTTATACACAGCCTACTACGGTATGAGCTATGTGCATGCAAAGAAAACCGAGGCATTGTATGCACAGGTGAAATGGGAACTTTATTGGTACGATGGTGCAAACATTATCGCGCATACGGTATGTATAACTTCGGCGTTAACCTGTCAATTATACGTTTGGTAAGAGACTTTAGTTCAAAAGCTACAACACTAAGTCTTTGAGAGCGCAAATTAGGAATATGTACACCCTTTCTTATCAAAAACATTGTTGCCTTCATCCGTATGACGAAGTGGGGTAAAAACCCATTAATTATCCACTTTATCACAAAACAAGAATCAAAATGAAAAAAAAAAAATTAAGGAAGTGAAATAGCTTTTAAAATATATATTCTAGCGTTTATTCATTTTGAAATTCCTGGCAAATTTCTCTATTGTTCATATTCAGCAAGAAACGAAAGTGTTTAGTAAATTTGGGGTTTAGGAATATTTCCAAGATTGGTTTCGACCTAAGATTAAGATCAGAAAACTGGGAATAGTTTTTGATCCAGTTTGTGATCCAGTCGCTGATTGGTTGATTTTGAAGAATCTGAGTGCAGTTTTGCACGCCATCGGGTTGTTTGTTGTGATGTAGGCCGTGTTGCTGGATCATTGTTATTTTTGCGCGTTAGTAATGTATTTACTTTAAGGGTTCAAGTAGAAACCAAAAATAAAGTATAAAGCGTTGAATTTCGGATGCAGTAGTAAATCGCATCCTGATAATCACTTTTATCGATTCCCGAAGATCCCGAAACCGCGTAGGAAATCGATTTGTATTTGCGTGAACCATGAGGCAGCCGTACCGTCCGAATAAAACCACTGTTAAAACGTAACACGCAATGAGGGAAAATGTACAACAGGGAACATGGATGTAGCCAAAAACAACTAAAAGAAGCCAGTTGACTACCCAAAATTTGAGTTCTTTTTACTTGATTTTGAGTTGAGCTTCTCACTTCCACTCGTTATTGTTGTCAAAAAAGGAACGAGAGATTCGACCCAACTATATAGTTCAGCCGAATAAGTTACTGTTGAGTAATTTGCATATTATCAAATTTAAGTGAATTAAACTTTATTTTGGGTAGAATATACTTAAGAGTAAGTATTTTTTGCTGGTATTAAAGGGAAACTACTTTATGCGATTTACTCAAATTTGGGTTATTGGGCTGAACCCGGGAAAAGTACTTAATTTTAGGTAGTGTTTCATATCCGTGTAGATTTAGACTAGAGAGGGCCTATTATAAGAGAGGAGCGAATTCAAAACAAACGGCCTTGCCAACCTAGTGCGAAGGAGGTAGGAGTAATGGTGGTGCTGCAGTAGTAGATGGCAGAGGTTGAAGAAAACCCGATGAAGTAGGCATTATCCCCGGAAGCACGTGCCCGATCGTTCCGTGGCCATTCATCAACGGATTCCCCTGTAGTGTACTTGAAGTCGTAAGAAGATTGTGGAGTAGAGGTGGAATTTGGCAGTACTTTCCCAGTTCCTTTCGCACGACTTTGTTGAGCTGCGATAACCGGGAGAATCATGTGAGATGGTGGATCTACAATCGTTGCATCCACGGAAGCATCGATTAGCGACAAAGACGCTAGATTCGCTGGCTGGACGCCCGTCTGGACAGGAAGTGGTGGGACCTCTACGGATGGGATTTTATCTCCACCCTTTCCCCTACTAAACCACTCTTGTACCTTTTCACAGCTAGCTCTGCCACTTAAACTGCTCTTCCTACTAGTGCCGTCGTTTGCACTGTCCATATTCGCCCGTAGTAGTTCGAACCTCTCCTTCAGATATCGCATTTCTTCTTCCATTCGCCTCAATCAAGCTCTTTCTTCCTCCTCGTAAGCCCTCTTCCTAGCTTCTTCTTCTTCTTCTTCTTCTTCTTCTTCTTATTCTTCTTCTTCTTCTAAGTGCTTCAAACGAAGACTCTGAAGAGCTTTTTGTTCATTTAATTAATCATATCGTCCAGCCATTTCCCACAGAGATGGCGCTGTTCCACTGGCAGGAAGTGATAAAAATCCCCATATTTTAATTTGCTTTCGGTACATATTCAGATCAAAAAATTGAACGACAACCTAAAAAAAATTTATCAGGGACTTAATCGTTCAGTTTTTTCTGGGAGTTAAACATGCTACAACTAAATGAAAAGGTTTTTTTTTGCATACATTTTTAAACCGCTTTACTACCAGTCCCCTAAGTGCTTCAAACGAAGACGCTGGTCCTATTTTAACAGCTGAAGTCTTAGCTGTATTTCTTGCTTCGATCTCTGGGATGTTTTACTTCGGTGAGACGACTGAGATTTGTGACTTGACACCTCTACAGCTTCCGACTCCTTACAGGGATCCGCATCGCCGTTCGAGTCGGTCACTCTCACACAATCGAAATGTGGCCACATTCCACACAAATCACAACCGACCATATTGTTGGCTGAATAGGATCGGTTGCACATCCCACAGTTGTGGTTATCGCTCGGATCGGTGTTATATGCCATCTTATGACGTTGCAACCGATAGAATCTTTAAATAATGTTGAGAATCTT